CTGTTAAGAAAAAACCTTTTTTTCTATATTTTTGCGATGTTGCTTTGACCAGGGTTTGAACCCAGGCATTGTGGAGTGGAAGCGCGCACTGCTTACCACTACACCACAGCGGCCGACTTGTATAAATACGTACAATAAATATTATAGCGACTTTTGAAAGTGTATTTATACATACAAAGTATTATAGCGACGTTTGCTAGAGTAGCTAACATTTGATGCTATTTTTTTCAGAATATATAAGGATTTTGCACTGTATTGTTAGTGGTTCGCTCTCCTGTAAAATTTGAGTGCCGTAAGATAGGCGGTTTTGCATTTGGGCGATGGGCGGTTTTGCAAAAACGTCGACGATGGTATGTATGTATTAATGTACACATGTATTATAAAACTCTCTCATTCCCCTCTCTACCTCTTAGGGAATCGGCAAAGAAGTTTTACCTCTGGTTCAAGCACATACATACATATAAATACTACGTTTATGCGTTGGTCGAGATCATTTCATGAATTTGAATTTAAACTGTGTGCATAACCAACAAAATTTCATGAATTCAATTATACACGAAAGTTTACCATGAATTTCGTTATTATTTCATAAAATGGTGAATTGCCAGTCTGGCAATGCCGCATTTAAGAAACAGCTGCTTGCTAGGGTTATGACGTTTTCAGATTCAAAATCATGTAGTGCAATAATCATGATTTAAAACACTGGAAAAGTTACCTGGATTTGTTCAAATATTAAATAAGTTCAAAATGAATAAACTGAAATTCATTAAAACCAATTTAAATATAACATGGACCATTTGCTGGAACCAAAAATGTCACAACTCTGCTGTTTAGGTTCTTGATAGTGCGTTTCCACTTTTTCAAAACACTTAATTTCATGAATTTGCGAATTATGCATAAACGGAACCATTTATGAATTTATGAAATGAAGAATTCTGTCACATACACGTAGTAATAATAGCATGCGCGTCTTATTTTTTAACTAACAGTTCGGTCAAATTCTTTTTTTTTTATTTCAGTATCGTTGTATATGAAGGTGGATCAGTAATGTCGCAAGCTCGCTNTATAAAGGCATGCGCGTCTTATTTTTTAACTAACAGTTCGGTCAAATTCTTTTTTTTTTTTTTCAGTATCGTTGTATATGAAGGTGGATCAGTAATGTCGCAAGCTCGCTCCCTATGGCGGCTGGAGTTAGCCCGGACTAAATGGACCGGAGGTTTTATTAATTGGTATCATCCGATGCGTATACGCCATATTACCACTGGCCGATATTTAGGCGTCAATGAGAATAACGAACTAATTTTGGTAAAAATATCTCCTTATCTGATTTTTTTTGTACGATAGATGATTTTTCTTTTTTGTTTAAAGCTAAAAAAAGAAGAAGCATCAATTGCGTCAACGACTTTCTGCCTCAGGCAGGAAAAGGACGATGAAAAAAAAGTACTTGAAGATAAAGATCTCGAGGTCATAGGCGTGCCTATCATAAAGTACGGTGATACCACTGTCATTGTGCAACATTGCGAGTCCAGCCTATGGCTAAGCTACAAAAGTTATGAAACCAAAAAAAAAGGTGTAGGCAAAGTAGAAGAAAAGCAAGCCATTTTACATGAAGAAGGAAAAATGGATGATTGTCTGGACTTTTCCCGTTCGCAGGAGGAGGAGTCGAAAACTGCACGTGTTATACGCAAATGCAGCAGCCTTTTCACACAATTTATTAAGTAAGTATATAGGTATTTTTTTTAGTGTTGCATAATATGCATGCCATTTTCGAAATTTATTTGTTTTTCTTTTATTCGCTGTTAAAATAATAAGTGGTCAAGTAAATGACTTGACATACATACATACATACTTACGTACATACTATACTATCGTACACGTTTGACGAAACTTTTTTAAACATAAAGCACCAACTTAAAATAAAAACACAAGTGTGCTAGAATTAAAAAAAAAAAAACAATTTAACTATGTACATACTTAAGGATTATCAATTCAAATACTTATATACAATTATATTTGAAGTGGGGCGAGCGACCAAGAACCTGCCTTAGGATTAAATTTCGTATTAAATTTTTACCCTCCCTGCAACTTACAAAAAATCCGGTTGGCTAACAAGGAAATTTACGTTTAAAAATTTGTATGGAACGTATTATTTTTAAAAACGTTTCGGCACAGGCTTTACACCTAAAATATTTGTTTTGGTTTTGAGAACACGCATTTCCAATTCATCTCCTAAAATTAATATTTTAATTTTTAAAACGCACATTTTCAAATCGCTTTTTAAGAGGATTATTTAATAATTGAAAATTCGCATAATCAGATTAGATATTAAAATATTTATTGCTTTTTTAATATGCGTTTTCAAATATGATTTTAAAATTATATTTTGATTAATGGCGTTTTCTGTTCTCCAAAAAAAATTTCACCTTCTTATATGGCAACATTATCAGAGTGCAACATTTTAAGGAAAGAGCACGAAATATAAATGTGACAATGCTGAGAAAATAACTCGAACACTTGACAGCCCTGGCGCAGGGCAGAATAAATGCAACATTATTTCGAGAAAAGAAAATGCTATAAAACATTTATTGATATACCAACGTACATATGTATGCATACTAGGGTGCCCATTGAAAATGCTTTTTTTGGAAATTTCAAGACCCTACCCCCTAATTTTATTCGTTTTTTCGAGAAATATTATTGCCTATTTTTATAGATTTTTTATCGATTTAGGTCAGAAAATACGATTTTGTATATTTATGAGTTTTTGAATGACTATTTTTGATTCGATTTTAAAGATCGGTTATAATCTGAGAAGAGAATATATAAACCTTTACAATGGTATATAGTAATCTATTGTCGGACTTGGCTTGTTGGTATTTTTATCGGGTAAAATTTAAAAAAAAAAAATTTTTCTCTTAATTTTTGAAATTTTGACTATCGATAATTTCCGCAATTTCAAAATATGTAGTACTATCTAAAATTAAATATATTTTTAAATAAACTGATAGGAAAGAACTACTTGACCGATCTCAACTAAATTTGGTATACACATTGTGCTTAGCCACCTAAGTTCCGTCTTAATATTTTTGAAATCGGACAAAACCTATTCCCCCTAAAATATAGGCAATCTTTGAGTTTTTTGAAATTACCATTACGTTGGTGGAGCCCGTGGTTTTTGTCCGATTATAAAAATTTTCAATATGGCGCAATGTGTGGTCGAGATAGGCCAAGTAGTTTCTGAGATACACATATATGATATAAGTGGGCGTTTCCACCCCCATTTTCCTAAAATTTCTTGAAAAACCACTTTTTTTGCTAAAAAAGCGATTGTAATATATCAATTAATAAATATTGATGGATTTCTTAGCCACGCTGCTCAAAAAATCTGAAATTCCGTTACATACACAATATGAATTCAAGGCCGTATTTAAGAAAAGTCGCCTAAGTTCGACAACTTTTATGCGATCGTAATAAATGAGCTATCAGTTTATTAAAAAAAAATTATTTTTTCTACATATTTTTAAATTATGGAAATTATCGATGGTGAAAATTTAAAAAATTAAGAGAAATATGCGTTTTTTTATTTTACCCGATAAAAAAATCCCAACAAGCAGAGTCTGGCAACAGATTATTATATACCATTTTTAAGGCCTATATATCCTCTTCTCAGATCATATTCGATCTCTGAAATTTAATTAAAAATAGTCATTAAAAAACTCATAAATCTACAAAATCGTATTTTCTGCCTAAATCGACAGGTTGCGAGCTCTAAATGACCTTTAAAAAATTTGTGAAAATAGGCAATAATATTTCTCATAAAAACGAATAAAATTAGGGGAGGAGGGGTCTGGAAATTTCCAAAAAAGCATTTT